TGGTTCCAGGTGGACCTCTGAAACCACCTCCATACTGTGCAGAAGGCATAGATGAGCAAGTTGTGATCTTCGAAGGAAATAGCTTATTCTCTATGTTACAGAAACTCAAGAGAGGACATCGGGAAAGGTGGTTAGCGAACGCTGCAGGGAAGCCCACGTTCAGAGCCATCAGCTCTCCTCTTCGCTCCCCCACACCATCCCGCATACCTGACAGGGGTTCCTGAAGAGCCTCCTCACTCAGAGCTAAGTCAGAAGCAAAGTCCTAGACAACGCTGAAAGTCATGAAGCATCCCTAGGGGGCCCATTCTTCTGATGAAGCCATCAATTCCAGCCTTATTCTACAATGATTTGTCAAATAGTTTCGTTCTCCAAGCATGGACAAAATAAGCTTCATGTCAACATAATAGTGGCAAAGCAACATTTTTCACAGAAAAAAAATATGACCAACCTATTCAGTGATTTTTAAAAATAAATTTATTAATTACATCAACCCATTTACTAGAGCTCTAATTATCAAGACCAGGTATATTCTCAAATATTTACACTTAATGACAAATAAGCAAGCTGATAATTCAGGAGTAACTGTGGCTGTTTCAGTAGATATATTTACATCATAGTCATAAGAGACCAAGCTATCTAAAGTAGTGTTTCCCTGAGCATTTTCCCACAGAAATCAAGGGTATTAGATCTGATTTAACACCCAGTACATATATGATACTTGAAAGCATTTCTGTTACCCAAATGTCTCTCCCTCCCTAGGAAATGTTAAGGATTACTAATACTTGATAATTTTTATAAATTCTCTAACAACTTTGAAGATGTCCTACAATAATAACATAATACACCAAGTACCTCAAAAGTACTCATGCCAGCTGTTTGCATGGACATCTCTGAGCTCTTTTAATTGCCTTGCTTCAATCTACAAAACTGATTAAAGCCAGTTCGATCATTTCAAAGCAAAGTTGGAAGGAAAAAAGGTGTAAAGGTATAAGATGCAAATATAAAATAAGGAGAAATATAAATAATACTTTGAATAAAGGGGTTCAGTGGGAATAAGCCTCAAAACATGAAAGATGATGAAAATAGAAGTGAAAGGGTTTTTTTGGTCCTATTTTGCCACTAATGTGGTGAAAGACACAGGGCAGTGGTAGCAAACCTATGGCACATGTGAAACAGCAGGCACACACAGCTTCTCTGTCAGAAGAGCCCTCTCTGTCGGCATGCAAGCCAAGTCACCCCAGCCAAGGTTTGACAGATGATCAGCATGCATACAACTGCACAGATCACATTCATTGTGTAAAAGTATGCCAAATGCAAACTTTTACCTTTCAGTAAAGGGTAAAAAGCTCTGTTACTGTGTTTTTTCTTTTTCAACAAAAGATGTTAATGTATGAGTTGGTTTTTTTTTTCTAAACTAAAACCTCAGTATTCAAGTTTAACTGCAGTGTTGGCACTCTGCAATGAATATGTGCATTTTGGGCTGCAGTTGGGCACGCAGCCTCTAAAAGCTTCGCCATCACTGATCTACAGCCAGTGTGTGATCTTTACAATGTGTGATCTTTAGCTTCCATGTATATATACAGCAATTTGGCAGGAACAAAACTTCTTCAAGATGCCCTGAGTCCCAGTGGTGGGCAATTATATAAGCATCTTACTCTTATTCCTACCCACAGGAAGACCTCAACAAATATTTTGCAAAGAACCAGTAGCTCTGCCCTTGGCTTTGGCATATAATAACCCAAATTCACGGTATTTACTAGGAATTCCATTGAGTGGAGTAGTCTGGACTTGTTAGCAGTGATAGAGAAAGAATCATGGGATTTATTTTTGAGTAAGTGAAGTATTTTAAGGATTGATGGAGCAACTGACTTTCTTTGTCTGCTCATGGGCCCCACTGGGCTTTCCTCTCACCGAGGAGCAGATGGCCTGCTGGAAGTTGTTGCTGACCACCACATAGAGTAACAGGTTCCCAAAGGTGTTCAGGGCAGCTAATGGTCTCGAAATGATGTAAGCTTCATGGATGTGATTCTCGATGGAACAGCTGACGGAAAGCAGGCGAGATTCAATCCGAATGACCCTCAAGATATGGAAGGGTAAAAAACATATATAGAACACAATAAGTAGCAGAATGGTCAGCCTTCGGGCTTTCTGCTTAAGGCAGTTGTGAGTCTGAGGCCCATGGGTTAGGGTGTTGATAATGGTTGTATAGCACATTGTCACTATCACCAAGGGGAGGCAAAAAGTGGTTGCAGTCAAAATCAGATTGTACCATTTGATAGTAGTGAGGTCATCTGAGCTGGTGAGGTCAAGACAGGCAGACCTGTTGGTCCTGGTGGTCGATGTGATCAGGAAGGTCATGGGCATGACAGCCACCAAGGAAATGACCCACACCACAGCACAGGCCGCCACTGTCCATCGAGTTGTGTGAATGGAAAAGCAGCTCATCGGGTGAATGATCACAAGGTAGCGGAAAATGCTGAAACAGGTGAGGAAGAGAATGCTGCTGTATAGGTTAAAGTGGAAGCCGAAGCGGATGAACTTGCACATAAAATCCCCAAAGATCCAGTTTTCGCCACTGGCATAGTAGTGAATCAGGAAAGGGAGGTTGGTGAGGTACAGCAGGTCTGTGCAGGCCAGGTTTAGCATGATGATGGTGCTGCTTTTCCAGGGCCGCATTTTGAAAATGTAAGTGGAAATTGCCACCGCATTTCCTGGGAAACCCACGATGAAAATGATGCTGTAAATAATGGGGAGGTAATGCATCTTGAATGGGATTTTTTCATCAGTGCAGTTTCCAAAGGCAGCTCCATAATCGGGGAAGTCAGAGGCATTTGCTAAACTGTCTAGTGGCTCATTCATGGCTGCCTCCTTTCATCTTGCAAGAAAACAAGAGAGTTCCGTTTGCCAATAGGAGTTCAGTGAGCAGTAACTCGCTGATAAAGGAAAACAGGAAACATCAGTGATGGGGAATGACAACAACAATTGGCTTTTAAATGAAATTTGCTCTAACACCCTAAATTCTGCACTTCCCCTTATCTCAAAAGAGACCCTGTGAGAGAGGGGCTTGAATTTCTAAGAAAATGACTATGTAGCAAGTTATTAAGGGCATCTAATAATAATATAGAGGTTAAACGAGAGTTTATGTGAAGGAGTGGGGAAAAAACCATGTGTAGCTGTGTAAAACAATTCATCAACACTGCTGTTCGGGGTGTCTTGGGCTATCATCGCTCTTACCATTAGAGACCTAGCACGGAAGAGACCCACCGGTAATCACGCCCCCTGGTGGTCACCGTCTTGTTACCTCTAAACTACAAAATGTGCAGTTTTTAATTCTCTATCTCAAGGAGAGACTACGACCAAGAGGTTTTGCAACTTATTCCTGGTAACACAAGTGGCTTAGCTGGATCCAAATCCGTGTTTGTCTGACTTATAAGCTGCTCCCTTTCTACCTTACCATTCTCTCTCTCTCTGTCTCGATTTTCACCAGTACAACCATAAATGACTGAGAGAACAGGAAGTGCGGAGTCCTAAAAAGATACTATGATTTTGAGTGCCCTGAGGATGAAACTCAGGCCCTCCCACATGCTAAGTAAATACACTGCCACTGACCTACGTCCCCAGGCCTGAGTAGTAAGCATACATTTCATGTATTGCAACATGGCATGTGTGGTCAATTTAATTTCAAATTTTAGCTCTCCCAATGCACTTTAATAGCTAGGACAATTTGTTTGTGTAGAGATGTGTGTGTGTGTGTGTGTGTGTGTGTGTGTGTGTGTGTGTTTAGAAGTGGGATCAGCAGTATAATGCAGCAGTTAAGTTAAGGTTTGGCCTCTAAAGCCGGATGTACTGATGCCGATGTTCAGTTTAGCCATTTACTAGTGGTGTGTCCCAAAGCAAGCTGCATAAATTCTTTAGGGATGGAAGAGTACAATTTTAACTTCCTTCTTGCTCCTCAATCTTTCCTAAATTTTCGACAATAAATTTCTGGGATGCATAAAGCATGAAGATTATTTAAAAGAAGAGTCACTAATAACTAGCCTATTATTTGCATGCAAATAGCTGTTGGTAAAATACATTCACTTACACATTTATGGAGTGCCCACTGTGTATTAATTAGGCACAATGCCAGGTCCTTCAGTTACAAAATAAGCAACACACACATGTGTAAGTCGCTATCAAGTCTATTGGGAGAGGTAGACTCATAAAATTATTTTTTAAAACTACAACCTTATCTCATGGAGCTATCAATGTATTTTTTTTAAAATAGCAAGGATGACACTTGGCATACTCCTGGGCACGTACTAAGTGCTCAATAAAGATTAGATAGTTGTTAGTAAGTAGTTCAATACATGAATGTTAGAAAGCTACTGAGATCACAAATAAAGGAGGACATTCTTATCTGGAGAAGGGGGGGCACTAATGGAAGGTCACTGAGGAGGATACATTTAAGCTGACCATAGCTTAGAAAGAAAGGACTATTCTGATTGAGGAAGGAGGAGACTGTATTCTATGCAAAAGGGACAGTATGTGCAAAGGCCCTGAAATGTTCTAAAGCTCAGGGAGCTCTGGATCCATGTTTCCCAGCATGGCTCCTATGTTAGGGGGCATAAAGAGAAGAAGCTGCAAAGAACAAAACAGCTAATAAGAAAAATAGCTACACTTCCTGTGTACAATGCATCATACTAAGTGACTTACTTCTACAAATTCATTTAGTCCTCACACTGAATGAGGTAGTGCTGAGCTCGTCCACATTTTGCAGATCGAAAATCTGAGGTGTGAAGAAGGCAGTGAAGCTACTGCTGGTTAGTTGTGAGCAGGGTACAGACTGGGTCAGGGTGGCTGCTGGGCTGGGCTGCCTCCCACGATAAGCAAGCAAGAGAGAAATCGCAGGTGTCCCATACTGAGGAAGGTGAGTTAGACATTACTGCAGAAGTGCTCGATAAATCATACATGGTAATCTGTGACCCAGGATTAATGTCAATAACAACAGAACCTACTTGGCTGAGTTCGATGAGGTAAAATGACTTAAAGACTTTAAACATGGGGTGCTCGGGTGCTGATAAGTGTGACATAAGTGCTCGCCATCATTACCACTATTATCTGATACTAAGTCTACTAACAAACATTTCCTAGGCAGCACGCAGAGGTGTATGTCAGCCTAGGCCCTCTTAACAAATCCAAAATTAGTAGACTCCTCCCCTCTGGGCTGGCCTCACAATATCCTCTTCCAGAGCTTGCTTATGCAGGGTGCAGATCAGAATGTGTTTCTAGATTTGTTACTTTTATTCAGTATGAATTGGAGAATGAATAGCTCAGGCACAGGGAACCTGTCCTGGGAAGTTATAAGGATCCACTGGCTCTCCCTGAGAACCGAGTTACCCATGAAAAGCCAGGGCTTCTCCATCTCTGACTAACTTAGTCTACCTGGAAATGCTACTCACAAAGCTATTACTCTCACTTCAGGTTGTACTCACAAAACTACTGCCTGCACAGATGCACACACTGGTCATGCACAGATGACCACAGGCAGGCCCTACTGACCAGCAAGGGTGACCCAAGGCCAGGAAGCCACACAGGGCAGCTTCTACGCCCAGTGTCTTAGATGGGCTCAGGCAGGAAGAGCAGGCAGTAATTCAAACCTGAAGAAGATGGCTGTAATCAAGGAGTCCTGGAAGTCCTGACATCTGTAAACTGCTCAGGTTGTTTCTGGAACAAAGATGTAAAGACTGTTTTACTAATAACCATAAGAATCTTCAAACTATCTCATTCTAATTGGAACTTGGCTCAAAAGAAAAGAGAGAAAGAAGGGGGCAGAATTTAAGCCTGAATGCCTTATCTGTCAATTCCTTGAAAGCAGAATCACAAGTCACTTCATCATTAGTCCAGAGGGTGACACACAGAAGGTGCTCAACGAATTTTTACTCCATACACTAAAGAACAATCAGTAACATCAGCAAAACTTATCCTGAGCTGCAGGGACCAGCAATCAGTAACTACTACCAAAACCAAAACAAAACAGAGGTTTAAAAAAATAAAGTATCTAGCAAAACTACCGCTCATGTCATTGCCAAATAACCCCCTGGCCATGTTTTGGGGACACTTTAAAAATAATCTTATCAAGACAGGGCAAGTTGTAGGCAGAAACAACTACCCCACTGTTTTGAAAAACAACAGTTCAGTGTGGGATTTAATGGAGGCTGACTCACCAATTGTAAGGGAAGAGGGATTGACTAAGAAATTTAAACTCCCTTTCAGAACCTCACCAAAAGTATGGTCTGAGTTTACAAAATGTGTGATGTTAAAAAAAAAAGCACAAAAACCAGTCCGTGCAGTGAGGGTCGGAAAAGGCACTTTCTCTCTTCCCTAGTCCTGGGGTTCTACACAACTCACTTTAGTGACCCAGAGAGCTAAATAGTTTATAAACACATCAATTAAACTCGGAGAATATGACACAACACAGTGGCACACTCCAGATGTTTTTCCAATCTTTTACCACAGTAGTGGTTCTCAAATAAGAGGTTCTGGACCACTTGGAACTGACAGGCTCTTTATAAACTGAAAAAAAAAAAGGTGTAGCAAGCTTCGGCATTGCCAAATATATGTGTGAACCAATATAGATGTCACATGACGAAAAGCAAATGACAGAGGTATGAGACAACTTTATGAAGAAAAAAAATTTAGTCTCTTTTTTTCTCTGAATTTAGGAAAAGACTGTGATTCTTTGAGGCTAGCTGCTGGATGTTGGTGTTTTGGGGACACCCAGTTGTAAGATGGCTACCTTAATGCCAGCTCAACCACAAATTTTAGAGGTTTGCATTTTGAGAGTCTAGGGGTAAAGAAGGCAGGATCAGAAATGGAACTATTTGAGGAGCTGCATAGGAGAGGTCATCAAAATATATGGTTGAATGTTTAAGCAAAAAAAACCACACTGCAATAAAAGACACATTGCCATTAATCCTTCTCAAAATGTTCAAAACACACCCTCTCACTTCGAACACACTATTCCTGTTGTTCTTGGCAATGTGTCTTTCAATATAATAAGTTTTTTGAAATTTAAACATTGAGTGTATTTTTGATCACTCCTGCATACCACTTAGTTATTTTCACAAAGTATGTCTATCTATGTCGTGGGATAACCAAAGACGGGTGATTCTTCTAAGGCAGCCATAGCTTTGCAGTAAACTCCTTGGCCAGCCCTCATGGCTGCCCTCCTCCCGCCTCATCCTGGGCATTTCCAGTGGCGGCTCCAATGCCAGATGCACAGCTGGCTCTTTCCCCCTATCCCAAGCTGCCACTGGACTATGAGGAGTCACCTGGAACTCTTCATGCTGGGCCACTGGGGTTGCTTCCTGTTGCCAAGGAGAAACTGTGCAGACCTTTCACTCACAAAGAAGTGTCTTGGTTTTCCAGTCTACATATTTGCAATCTAAGCTGATTCCTTTCAGATGGAAACAGACAACTCTTACCCTGGACAGTGTGTGACCCAAATGAGTGCTGTCCTTCTGAGACAAGGAAGAAATCCCTCTCCCCAGCCCCTCCAGATGCCTCGCTCTCCTCTCAACCTCCACTTTCAAATAGGAATCTGCAGTTGAGTTACAAGACTTGTAAGACTTCTGTTAAGACTTGCCCTGTCCATGGACCCCAAAGCTGTGGTTTTTCTTATTTGGTCTTTGGGAGAATCAAATACACCTAAACCTTCGGGCAGTCTCCTCAGACAAATGAGTGCATAAACCCACGTTTTCCCCTGTTGCTGGTGATTGAATCCAGTGCCTTCACACTGAGCTACCTGCCAACCCCCTCCCCTTTTTTAAAAACTTGAGATAGGATCTCACTTAGCCACTAAGTTGCCTAGACAAGGCTCTGACTGTGATCCTCCTGCGTCAGCCTCCTAGAGTGTTGGAATTACAGGTATACGTGACCATTTTTATGTATAATTCGGAGGTTCAGAGATAATACCAATCTAGCGTGCTACATTCCTAGAAAAGAAACAAGGCAGCACTGCAAGGGGCATTTCAGAAGAAAAGCTTCTGTTGGTTGGCATCCTGAGGGTGGGGACACAGGACTGTGTCATCAGACCTTCTGACACCCTCAGGTCCAGGATCCTACAGTGCTGAGCCCTGAGTGCACCTGGAAGGGCGGTGATGGATCTGAGTTAAAGGTGAGCACTCCGCTTGTCCCCAGACCTGCCGACAAGAAAGGGACACCTCTTCCTCGAGAAAAAAGTATGAGATGGGACAGGCACTCCAAACCTTGTCCAGGGCTCTCTGAGTCAAGTCTCAGGGGCCCTGGCTTTTGGTTCCCAAAATGGAATGCACAGACACACAACACGCACGCGGCCCCCCATCAGGATTCAGCGAGCACTTCCCAGGGAGGAAACTGTAGAGTAGAGGGTGCTGCTTCGCCTGGCATCCTACCCTCCTCCCGGGTACGCTTGGGGTCCCCGCACCCTGCCGGCTGCCCCCGGCCCCCATTGCAGCTCACCCGGCACCCCGAGTTCGATGGACGTCCGTCCAGCCAGACGGTCGAAGCTCTCTGCAGCCCGGAGCGCGCCGCCCCTGCCCTGCGCGTCCCAGCCGCACCCCGAGAGCAGCCGCGCAGGTCCCGCCCCGCGGACGGCGGGATCAGCCCTCGCCCTCCGCTGCTGGGCGTAGGGACCGCGCCTTCCGCTGCCGGCATCTCTAGACGCGCCCTGCCAGACGGCGCGGAACTGACCGAAAGGAGCCTTGGCGGAGGGGCCGCGCTGCCTGGTAGCCGGGTGCTGGCACCCGGAGGGCTGGGATGGGCCCCTCGTTTACCAGCGGACGGAAAGGACTTACTGACGCGGTCTTCGCTGAGCCCGTTACCGTCCTGCACCGCCCTGCGAGCTGCCTTCAGAGCACTCTGTAGGGGAGGGAAGAGCTTTGGTCTGGGTGCTCCAGATCTGAGATGAAGCACTCTTGCACATGACTTGGAAACTGTTTCTTCCCTTATCTGACAGTCAGTTTAATCTCGCAGCACCCTGAGGCCCGAGCTTTGGACCGCAAAGCTCTCTTCTCCTTCGAAAGGCGAAAGCCGAGTTCCAGGCCTGACCAGGCTTGGTGGAGAACAACCATTCTGCGCCCTGGGTGGGAGTTGAAGGTCCTCTACCTGATAGATACTGACCAGCCTGCCACCATCCACCCTCTGGTAGTGCCAAACAGCTGGACCAAGAACGTCAAGTCAGATGTTTCTCACCGTAGCCCAGGTGAAAGAATTCCACCCTAGCAGATGACTGAGAAAGCGCCATATTGGATATTATTATTCTGCTTGTTATTATTGTTTGAGCTCTTCTCTCTCAAGAGAAATATTTTGCATACAAACAAATTATTCTCCAATTTTACTATTTCATTCACTTCATCATTTGAGACTATTTGACCCTATTTTGTTCCAATCCACACATTCATTCGACGTTTGATTATTCTGTGTCAAGAATTGAGGAGATAACACAGATTAATACATAATCTCTGCCCTCCAGGAATGAATGTCCTAGAGAAAAATAATAAGTTAAGCTTATGATTAGGTTTGACCCTGGTGAGTCAAGGTGCTATGAAGGCTAATAACTCAAGTGTGGAGGGAAAGGTGTTCTGATATAAAAAAATCACTTGGGCATCTTCCTTGGTGTAGAGGATTTCTAGGTCAAGAGATAGTACCCTAAAGAGATTTTTGATAAGCAAGTACTGGGTCCTAGAATTTTTGATGTGGAAGGGGCCATTTAATCATACCTATTCTCCTGGAAATGCAAAATCATGCAAGTGCTGCAGAAAACAGTATAACAGTTCCTCTAAAAATTGAAAATAAAAATAGAGCTGTGATCCAACAATTCCACTTTTGAGTATGCACTGCAAAGAATTGAAAGCGGGCATTCAAAAAGATATTTGGGTACTTATATTTATAGCAGCATTGCTTACAAGAGCAAAAAAGTGAAAGCAACCAAGTGTCCATCCACTGGTGCGTGAATAAGCAAATGTTGTATATACATATAATGGAATGTTATTCAGCCTTGAAAGGGAATGCCATTCTGACACATGGTACAATATGGATGAAATCTGATGATGTAATGCTAACCAGAAGAAACCTGCCAGAGAAGGACAAATGTATGGTTGTGCCAGTGTTATCAAATTCATTCAGAAAGCAGAGTGATGGTTGCCAAGAGGTAGAAGGAGGGAGAATGGGGAGTAATTGGTTAATGCATATTACAAGATAGAAAGAGTTTTGCAAGAAGAAGAGTTCTGTGGATAGATGGCAGTGACAGTTGCCACAGTATGGATATACTTAATGCCACTAGGTAATTAAGCCATTAAATTTTATGTGCATGCATTTTGTCCCAATGTTTAAGAAATTTGTAAAACTCCAGTTTTATGGTTTCAACTTCCAAATGCACAAATGACAAAGCCAAAGGTCAGGATGGTAGAGGTCTGTGTAAAACCAATGCACTGAGTTCTCCATTCTACCTCTTACCCCATTTTGGGCCACGCTCAGCCCTGTGATTGAAATCTTTGCCTCTTCAGACAACAGTGTGCTAGGATTCCTTACCTTAAATTAGTCCCACCTATGAGATGATTACTATGAACTAATCTTTTCTTACTTTTTAATATTGGCCTGTAAATATTCCTTTTTGCCATGACACAAAATTCCCACCTATATCATAGTGCTTTGCAGGGAAAAAAATACTAACACTAACTTATGTAGATTTTAAATAGTCTTTACAGAAAGAAAATGATGTAATACACTATAGTATAATATGTGTCAACTTGCAGTAGAAAATGATGTCACTCTCTTAGACCATATACAGTACTAAGCTTCAAATTTAGGACCCTGAGGCTGTCCTTTAACAACCCTAAGTGAAAGAGCTATGCCCAGATTCACAAATGCACTTTCTTCTTGAAATGAGCTCTCCATAGAAAACACATTCACTCAGAGCTGCTGAAGAAGCACAGGTGTCACCTGTCACGTGCGGCAGTCTCTCCTTGGAAACAGGGTACAATTTACTTCCATGATGATCAATAAGCACAAAATCTCTCTAACTAGGAAGCACTGACACATTAAAGTCTCCCACTCAAAAAATCCTGTGAGAGTCTGCATAAAAAGCAAAGTAGCATTCTCCCAAGAGCCATTAATTATTGAGTTACTGTTGGCAGGGGGAAGAGAGAGAGAATGTATTAGAAATAGTCTTAGCTTTTACTTAGTATTCTATTGAGAAAGGAACAAGTAGTTGGTCCAAACATGGACTGTTCTGTGTCTGTCTTTACCAGCTGTCATTACCCAAACTTTGCACTATCATGAAGTGCAGTTTCAGTGTTCCAACCATAGCTGACTTCCACTTCTGGCTATTTATAGCCTTGCTCTAATTTTTTGTAAATTTGACCAGACCAGGATATAGTTGATGCAATAGCATCTTCATGAGATGCCTTATCTTGATTTAAAATAACTGACTTTTTTTCTAATGCTTTTAGAATGGATTGCTCAATAAAAAAGCACTGATTAAATAAAGCAAGCTTTTGATCTACATAGTAGGAGGCAAAACATTCAGCTATAGTATTGCCTTCCAGATTCCTACAGCATTTCTTTGATGAAGAGAAAGACACTACAGTATAGGAGAGGGTACAGGAGCTTAAGGTTTGAATTTTTAGTTTGAAAGGAACTCATTTAGTTGGAAAACAGAAGTGGCTTTGAGTTCATTTAAGAAAATGGTGACTGGACAGATCACTCTCCAAGGTCAATTCCAGATTAAAGGGATCTTAGTCGTAAAAATTAGAAGCTTAAAGATGGTCTTGTAGAACGGAAGTATACCAGTGCTTTGGCAATGTGAGTCACTTGCTGTGCTTATACGTGAACATGATTTGGTGATTTTGAAGGTTTTCCAAAAGATGTGTCACTATTGCCGCTCCTTTGGAAAGGGGCTTTTCTGGTCAACTTAGAAAACTGCTGGGCAAGAGATTAATTAGATTGTCCATATTCAGATCCAACCCACTATAATTTAGATGTCTTAGTCACTCTTCTTTGTCACTGAGACACAGTGCCAGACTCCTATGACTCAAAGAGAGGTTTACTTTGGCTCACAGGTGTTAGAAGGTTTATTAACTGACAGAAGGGCATGGGAGAAGGGTTGGTAAAGGAAAATTGCTCCCATCATGAAGGCCAGGAAGCTGAAAGAGTAAAGGGAGGAGCTGAGGAGGGCGATGTACTATTCCAGCTCACACCTGCAGCGGCCCAGCTCTTCCAACCAGGCCCCGCCCCTAACAGCACAGGAATTCATCAGTGGATTAATCTGCCAGTGAGTACAGCACCCCACGACCCAATCGCTGTCCAAAATCCCCACTCTGAACACGTGAGAATTTTGGGGACCATTCTGCATCTAAACCATAACACTCAGGAAGCATTACAGTGTGAAGTATGTTGACCACTATAGGCAGGGAGAGACTAAAGGACACATAGTATAGACAAGGAGAATAAAGAAGGCAGAAAAGAGAGGTCTACCAAGAAATCAGCTCTTCATCTTTGCTGGTGCAAGTGCCTCTGGTTGGATTATCCATCCCATCTGCTCTTTCCGATCTGAGTCTTATATCTTTATGAAATAATAAAACACATACTCTATATTTGCCCAGAAATATTTTCTTCTTAACTGAATATTTAACTTTACCCATAGTCACTGTACCAAATAATATAGAATGTAATGATTTTTAAACTTTAATAATTATTAAAACTACAATAGCTTTATTAACTTGAGTCTTACCCACTCAAGAAAATTGTCTACATTTTAAGAGAAAATGGTTCATATTCTCCTTTTTGGGTAATATATAGCAGCTTAAATAGTTTCATAGGCAATTAGTGAAACTAGGAATCTTACTCCTCATTTACTTTAATTAATACTGAATTCTTGAAATTTTTTAGTTACTAGTTGAAACTAGGCTGTCTCCCCTGGTCTCTGTGCAGCCAACTGAACATCAGAAAAAAATATGGGAAAAGAGTAGTCAAACCCTAACAGAATGAGGGCTGGTGATTTAGCTCAGTAGCACAGCACTTGCCTGGCAAGCATGAGGTCGTGAGTTCAATTCCCAATACCAGAAAAAAAACAACAACAACAAAAAAGAAAGAATCTAACACAATGAAAACTAAGCTGAAAAGATTGAATTAGGTAATTAAGAAATCACTGATGACCTTTGAACCACTCTGTCCCATGATAGAGGCCAAGGTTTTTTTGTGCAGTGAGTTTCAGGAAAAAATGGCATGCCACAACTTGTTGGAAGTGATAGGAGGAAAGGAACAAACGTGTAGCTTGATGGTTGACATGTTAAAGAAGAGTTTTTAAAATGTGTTATTCCTTTAGAATAAACTTGAGCATCATTGTAGACTGAAGGAAATATGCCCACAGCAATGGAAAGATTGAAATGGGATCATCTGAAGACAAGAGCCATGAAATCATTGGATGATAAAACTCCTGGAGACAAAGTGAATGAATCCTGGTTAATACCTTTGCTACTGGACATGCGTACAGTGGCATGGAAAAGATAGAAAGGAAACCAAGCTGAGAGCTGCAACGCTCACAGGCAAG